CACGTGGAAACCTGGCCTCGCCGCTGCCATGGCGATGAAAGGAGGAGGGGCGGGTGGAGGAGGGGGTTTTGTAGGTTGACAGTTGCCGCAGTGACATGACCTCAAGCCGCCCTCTCCTACGCCGCCCCACCACCTCACACAAAAAATAGACCAAAATAGAACGGCGGCCATGATGGATGCCAGGCTGTCATACGCCGTTTAGCGGATGAAAGGTGGGCGTGGCTCAGGGGGCGCTTTCCAATGGCCTTCTGGGTGGAATGAAGCGCCGCCATAACACAGCAGTGGCATCCTCATCTTACATTAACCTTTTAAAATCCGCTTCCTGTCCAGCCAAACGCTGAAACACGACCACTCTTGGTTAACATCTAAGATTGGCACATGTGTAATACAGTGAACCCATCACTTTTTTTGTTGCCAAATTCACCTGCAATTTAGAGATCATATGATTGCCTGCTAGCTTAATGCTCACAAACAATGCAAAACAAAAATTGGGCTAAGAACTGGCATCGATGTTGCTGTGTTATAACCCATGGCTATTCGAACACAAGCGGTGCAGCAACACATGTTCGTTCGACAGACATTACAACAATACTCACATGCACATATTATTTATCCTTTGTGAAAAACCAAATCTTGCTAATAACTAAGCAGTGGTGACAATCTCCATGTTGTGAGCCGCACAAGGAATTAATGATTACACACAAACTGATTAATTATTTTACAGTCCACCAAAATTGGATATTTCGACATGGTTTTATAAAGAACAATACTAAAGAGTGCAAGTTTTTACACCCGCCGCCCAAAAAAAAAATGTTTCATTGGTCTTTTTGGGAGGCCAGAATGGATTAACGGCACTTTCATTCATGTCAATGGGGATACATGATTTGCTATTTGACTGTTTGAAATTATGACGATAAATATCACCTACGATATCACTGTGAATGTTGCTTTCATGACGTGCACTTTTTCATTGTCCAGTATTCATACTGTCTTGAAAAGAACTCAATGGGTGCAAAGATGGCAAAGGAAGATCAAGTGCATTTTCAGTCGCCAATCAATGGACAGGATTCAGTCACATGACTCAATGGCAAGCCCAATACAACGTCGTCATTTTTGAAGATGATTTACCAGGGACAACGATGAGTTACAGCAAACTATTTTGCCTTGTCTTTTGTGAAGAGCACTGTATGAAGTTTTAAGTCATGATTTCAGGCGTCTACTTGTCATTCTTTCAGTTCTGTGTTTACCACCAACGAAACAGGAGGCGAAATTCAATTTGTGGCGCATCAGGTGATGTTTGTGCTTTTGGACAATGGAACGCTTACAAAAAAAGCTCACTCACCCCTATCGCATTCCCACAATTTGAAATGAATTTCCACATGACCGCTGAACTGACCTTTCCTGTTTTTAATCCAAATGTCTGATGTTCAGCATTTTGGCATTGACCTTTCAAACCGTTGACATAGTTTTGGAATCATGACGTCACGACGCCATTACGCCAGATAATGAGACGCATGTGGCCGGCATATGTGAGGAGGCCTGAGCGGTACACCAAAGTGGAAACAAAAAAAAGAGAGGACAGGAACATTTCTAGCCTCTCTTAGCATACTTAGCGATGAAAGAAGAGCCTGAATTATGTCATGACATATAAAGACAATAAAGAAAGAAAACATTTAGCGAGCTACCAGACAGGGTCTTTGAATATGCTGCATGGTTAAATGGTTTTGGAGTAAGGACGATCTTGCAAATTTCTCCATTGTGAGACAAATAAAGGTTTTCTTCTTCTTCCGTCAATGCAAAAATAGTATGAACGCTAATTGCTATATTAGAAGAAAATTGGATACTTTCCAACCCAATGTCACTGAAAGTGAAGACAAAACTTGCAAAAACCAAAATCTGAGTGGAAATAGTACAGAAATGTTAGAATTAAAGACAAAAATACCCTTTGGATCTCATCATACTAGCATAATGTAGTACTGCAAAAAAAGTAACACAAAACGTGTATGAACAGCATTGCACGATTGTTTCAAAACTATTCGATAAAAATCCATCAGAATACGTCATTTTAGAAGAAATGTATGCGTCAGACTCTGTGACGTGAAAATACAACGGCCCCCCGCCGAAACAAATCAAACCCTTATCTCAAGGCACCACTGAATTCAAATTTCTTGAGGTCGCACCTGTATTTTGTCCGTCCACTCTGCATCTGTAATTTGAGACAAACGGACAATTTGGAGTAAAAACAGGCTAAAAACAATGGTGGAAACGGACTATTGTGACACTGTTGTGCAAGACTGTCAGTGAGAATGCGGTCGAACAATTGATCCAAACAGGTGCGGTTCATTGGTGGTGTGGCTCAGGTTGCCTATTCATCCCCGCGTCCTACAAAAGCAGTCATCCTCTTACCCATGAAAGTCACCACGTGTGCTTCAAATAGTCTTCACTGAACGTTTATTTTCAAGCTAAACGTTCCGGGGGCAAAGGGACCCATAAAAACACACTCAGGACAATGAAATTCTACCCCATAGCCTAAACCGCCCCCGAGAGTCTCTCGACGAGCCGCTGATAATGTACTGTATGAATTATTACAAAGAACGCAAACAGCGAAGCCCATAAAAGTGCTTTCAGAGGCAGACCTTTAAAGAAAAAAAAAAGAAAAAAGCTCTTACGGTCAGTTCTGATCTCAACCGCACGCACCGCTTACTGTAAAATAATGAATGGACCACATGCCAAATGTACTTTCCACGAACACAGAGTTGGTCTTCTATTTCAAGAGTTTGTCGGGGGGGATTATGTCAACGGAATAGTTGACCTGCAGGCCAACTAAAAAGCAAAGTTCAATGGCAACTTGTTGTCCAAACAATGACAAGAAGACATCCACAATGGGAAGTTGGGCTATATAACATTTCGATATTTTCAAAGACATTCTGATTGACTGAATTTGCTGTCCTTTGTGTTGGACCCCCCAAAAAAAAAGTTGCATATAAACATACAAGCAATGCCAATTTCGTTTTTTTTTTATTTTACATTTTACAAAGTAAACATATTTTTCCCCAAGTAAACATACAAGCAATGCCAATTTCGTTTTTTTTTTTTATTTTACATTTTACAAAATAAACATATTTTTCCCCAAATCTGAACCAGATTTACTGTCCTTTACATTCAACAATTACAAATAAAATTTTAGATTCATGTACAAGAAAAACGGTCCATTTTGTTATTAAATTTATATTGAAAAAAAACTTTTTTTTTTTTTTACATAATTCAACAAATGAAAAACAACAAAAAAAATAAAACAAAACGCTTGCCGTGACTTCTTGAAACTGCCCGCCGTTACTCTTGCATGGAATGCTAATTGTCGCAATTAGGTTTCGTCAGTGGAAACAAGACACGTCCGCAGAGGAATCAGGCATTTCGATACGGCAGCTGCCCCGATGGCGAAGCAGTCAGGGAACACCACCATCCAGTGACCATTTCAGGCCTGCTCGACCAACTGTGTAAATATTCGCATCCACACACACACACACGACCATCACCACCACCGATCGTTTCCTAGCACAATATCAGTAAACCAAGAAACAACTGCTACTGTCAGCCCCTGCCCGCACACAAGGATAGCAAATGAGAGCAGGTGTGTGTGTGTGTGCAAAATGTTCACGTCTCTGCGACGTCAAATCAATGAACTTTTAACTCCGTTCATGCAATGTCAAAATGTACTGCGTGTCCATACGGACTGGACTCTCTACCACTTTAAAAAGGTTATTGGAAAAGCAGTTTAGTAAATATGTTAACCAGATTTGTGTACCTTCGATACTTCTGTTCATGAAAGGGGTTCTGCTAAATAAAGCCAGAAAAAGTACCAACATGTGTAAGTTGGAAGACAACCACCATCAGTCACCGATATTTCTTCGTCGATCAAGTGGTCATGTTTTGTTTGTTTGGTTCACAATTTTCTTTATGCTCGTTAAAGGAAATCTCACTAACGGACACATTGACAATTCGTTTTTGTTTTTTTTAAATGCTGTACTCCTGATCGTTTGTTAGCTAGCATGCTACAGTGCTTCCCGATTGTAAGAATGACTGAAGTTGCTCCAACTAGACCAATGTTCAGTGGACCCACACAACAGAACGGACACACACACTCAGCGCGAGCTTCTAAAATTCTTCTCCATTTTATCTTTGACGAAAGAATGTTTCCAGTGACAAGACCCTTTCCCCCTCAAGCGGGTGTAAAATATTTTTGATTAAAATACTGAAGAAAAAAAAAAGACAAACTTAGTTGATCCCAGCTGTGATGTTTACTGTCAGTTACAATTCCTTCTGCTGAATTGAAAGACACGTCAATAAATATCAACAACACACAAGCTCGCATACCACTCCCATTTTATTACCTCCTTCCAGGAGGCTTTCATTGGCATGGCTTTGTTTGCTCGTGTGCAAGTGCCTGCTTTTGAAAACGTCAAGCAGGACAACTTCACATCATTTACCTTTGGTGGCAATTTAAAAGAAAATGACATTGCAATTACCTCAACTTTTACCGTGGTTAAAAAAAAAAATATCCTAAAATATTTTGATAAAAAAAAAAACACTCAAAATATGTAAAAAGCTCAAAAGGTGCATTAAAACATCAAATCTACGACTCAAAAAACATGAAAAAGTAAAACTCAAGAACATCAAACCGGTAAGTACAAATGGTAACCACATGAAGTTGAAAAACAAATCCATTAAGCAAAAGTGTAAAACATCCGATAAAACTTAAGCAAAACTGTCCCAATTTTTTTTTTAAAAGTCCAAACGTAATAAGTAAAAAAAATCAGTAAAAATTGTTTAAAATATTACAGTAAAACTGAAGTAGGCCAAAGTCACATTCACACTGTATGCTGTACATATTAAACAGACCATGTTAAAACCTAAAAGCCACAACATGTTGCATAAAAATGACAAAACGCACAGCGTTAAAACATTAAAAATGTAAAAACAAAGTATTCCATCCAATTTCTAAATAATGCTCAATAATACAACCAAGTCACTTAAATGCAAAACATACCACATTAAAACATGCAACATGTTGCATCAAAATTCCAAACATACTATGTTGCCGTTCACGTCAAATATAATTGGGGGGGGGGGGGGGA